GGGGGGGGGGGGGGGGGTATTTTAGCATAGCCGGCTAAATATAAGAAGTCGAACCGGCCGCTAACACCTTAGGCCTGCTACTACGGCCCGGGCCGATTAGCGCTACTCTACTTAATTAGTACTCTAACCTAGTCAGGTCTTGGCGAGTGGTTTGGAATAGGGCTGAAATCTACTCAATTAGGGTTGAGTATGTACTTCGACTCAAGTCTACTCTTTTTATTCTTACGTTGACGAGAGCTAGGCAGCCCTTGATTGTACTAGTATCAAGGGTAACTACGAGACTCATGAAAATTTATAACGCTAATTCTTGCTCAAATTCAAATTGTTAGGCCTTCTACTAATTCGGGCTCAGTTAATTCGGGAAATGGATAGGAGGACCACCACTCCGGCAGTGAACACTTGCAAGTTCCAACGGGAAAATGAGGGGTGGAGATTTTCGATTTGAAATGTAGAAGAAAAAAAAGTGAAAAGAAGGGCGCGTTACGATATTCCACCGGTAACATATTAATTAACATGTAACCAGAACATATGGCCGATGCTCGCTTCTTCCCGAATGAAACTGCATGCCAAAGTTAATTCGCCCAACCAACTGTAAGAGAACTTGTTGGATTTCCAAGGTATGGGGTCAAGTAGGTCATGTAGAATTGATTGAATTGTAAAAGAAGCTATTGTACAGCCTTTTATATCTACAAAAAGGGGTAAAAGAGTGGAGTGGTAACCCAATGCGGAAACAGTACAAATAATGAAATACATGTATAAATCATGGAACAAGTGGATTCCACGGTTCAACAGAACTTCTCTACTGGTATTCTATTTCAGGATTCGCAAGATTGTATATCGAAGAGAGAATAATTCGTGCTATCATTCAAATATTTTCGGAGGATTCCTAGCGAGTCTTTATGGGGCTGGTGGAATGTCAGTTCACCAGCTTGGTATATCATGTGACCGAATCATATTCATCTTTTGCCCGACAAGCTTTGATGTGTTGATAGATCCATAAATATGAAATCCCAAAAAGCTTAATGCAAGTTCTTCAAAAATTGAGGCCTTGGTTCACAAGACTGTCACAGGTGTCTCATCTGATCTTTACACGTGGGGAACAACTTCGGCTGAGTTCCCCTGTTTTGAGCTAACCCTTTTTGCACACGCCAAACGCTTGATCGCCAACTCCTAACATCAGACGTCTCCAACCCCACCGAACAAGCACATCTTCTGGCGAAGCTACCCATGAAGATGATCGTGATAGGAATTTTTGACTCCTCTGCCGTCTACCGAGCTCTACCGAGGGCCAGGTCGAGCGTTTTTTCATCCTAGTAAATGCCTGTAATTGGTGGTAATTTTCACATGAGCACCGGGCAATACGTACTCCCAAGTCTGGAGACGAGCGGGTATCAAAGGTCAAAACTAGGACTCTCCGATCATACTCTAGGGTCGTATCCGGGAAAGTGGGAAGGCCAAGTACGTATATATATTCCATATGCTCCCTTTTAACTTTGGTATCCATTCACATTCATATTTCGTTTCTTCGCTTCTTCAAATCCTCAGACCAAACATTCTTTTCACCTCACAGCTGTGCTGTTGCCATTCTTTATATTCTCTCATTCAGAAATACCCGTTGGCCGAACCCAATTAAACAACCAACCTTCAGCATGCATTTCTCCAGCTCCATTTTGGCAATTGTTCTTGCCCTCACCTCTACGGCTGCTTGCGCACCACTCGACAGACGTGCCTTGACCGCCAAATCATACAACGACTTCCAAATTTCCGGTGGTGTTGGTGGAGAAGCCCTCGCTGAGGCCAACGCTCAATTCCCTGTAAGTATCCAAGTGACCCTACAGTTTCTTTGACCATGACTAATATCTCGATTAGGTCGGAACCGATTTCAAGGCAGTCTCGAAGGAAGATCTCAAGATCATTTCCGAAGCCGCTCAAGTCAGTGAGCAGGCTGAAGTTGCAAAAGGTGGTTTCAACGATGCCATCAAGGCAGAACCTGACAACAAAGCGAAGGCAGTCGGAAAAACCAAGAACAAGGTCTTGAAGTTGATGACCGATGTTTTGCGCTTGGAGATTCAAGCAGCTCAAGGAAAGACTGGGTTGGAATCTCAGATCGAAACACAGAAGAAGAAGCTGGCCACGAACGTCAAACTTGATGTCGCGAACAAAGGAAAGAAGAGTGAGGGTATTAACTTCTCTGGTTAGATACTTCTGTTGAAGGTGTCTTTGGGGGATATGATGGGGTTTTCTTGTGAACGGGTATCTTTAATTAGACATCCAAATTTATTTTCTGATTTTTGAAAAGGAAAAAAAAGTCCTAAATGATTGAGACACGCCCTCACATTCCTTTTCGTAGAATAAAATACGCATTCTTTCTTGAAATTGGCGCTGACACGGGGTTGGTTGAGAGATGTAGCGGTAATTTTCAGAGAAGTGACAATGACTAAGCTTTGACTCCTGAGAGATGTTTTCAAATGAAGTGATCTGCGTTCTTTGACTTGAATTTCGGTTCTTATTATTCTTAGAGGAAGGCTTCGTTTTTTAGTGCGACACTGTATTGTCTTACTGCTCCTTTTCGCTGCTCTTTTGCCGGTCGGGGAACCGCTGGTTGTATTTGAATCTTTGCTCACATTTCGAACACATCCGATTTCAAAATCTTTGACTTTCAAGGGAGATCGTGAAATACTTCCAAAGAAAAGAGAACGACAAGTTATACTCTGCACCTATAATTGAACAAAAGGGGATAATGGGCTGATGGGAAGAGTCGGACCGCGCAAGTGCAACGGCAAATTTTCAACGCGAAACTATTCCAGCTGTCGATAATCCAATGAAGTGGCACATGGACTGATATTGAAATTTCAATACAGGTTGTACAACTTTATAGGCTTCTGATTCGACGGGATTGATGTCTGCTCCCATCTCTCCTGATCTAGCCCGCGCCGAGAACTCGGCAGAGTAAGATTTCGGCTCCTATTTGCCCCGATTTTCATGCCCCTGTAAGGTCCCTTGTAGATCGAGAGGCAGGTACAATCAGCTACCAACCACTCATAATCAAAAATGGACACTGATGACCGATAATTGCAGTGTGTAGAAAAACTAACACGGTGCTAGGTGGCAGTCTGATGTGCTCCGGACAAGACCAACTCACAACTCTTAAGCATGTCGGCCCCCAGAGAATTAGGAGAGGAAATTTTGGGATGGCAAGCTGTCTTTTCCTCACCATCAAGACGAGTTTCTTATCAGCTCTTTCTTGAAGCGCCTATCTAATCCATATTCAAGGGTGGGTCTGCTTCGTTCCTTCCCCTTTACATGTAAACAAATGCCCTCGCTTCGGGTAGCCTCGGCATATTCGAGGTTCTTTGAAGGGAAGGATCGACCAACAATCTCAAAACTTCAAGTTCTCGTGGCTTTCCATATCAATTTTTAGCTTTACTCTTGAGCTTTGGAGTACCATGAAGAAGCGTCAAATAAATTCAAATACATAATGCGCGAGCTGGTATGAACCCCGTTTCTTTGGAGGATCGACCTAAGCACGCATCATCGCCGTTTTCACATGCATGCTGTGCTACAAAACTCATTCTAACCTCTTTTTAGATTTCACGATTGACCGTCATTTATCTCGGCATTGGAACATCCTGAAATTTCGCCTTGTGGCGATGGTTGAAAATTATCTGATGTATTGAATGTCGCTTTGGTCAAAAACAATGAGCCAACTGCAGTCAAAGAAATTCGTCATCACATCTCGTCGGATCTTCCCACCACCGATGCCCAAATAAGGCATACATCCCTTCAAAGACGCCAAATATACCTTCTCGGCCAACTTCTAGTATCCTGGCACGTTAATACCCTCATCCCACCAACATGATCCTACGCTTGGCCTCTGCGAAAACAATGCTTTGGTTTTGATGTTTCCTCCATCTATACAACGATATCTACATCTACTGATGTGCGATATAATTTCAAGGACAATCAAGAACACAACGCCAGCAAACTGATAAACATGAGCGCAAGAAAAAGAAAGTATAGGTATCAGAGCAAGAAGGTTTACAATTTAACCAACGAGCATAATCTGCAGCACGCCTCCAACCAGAGATTCCTTATGAAACAACAAAGTATGAAATCTTTCAACGCTTTCATTTTAATGTCCATTTCCATTAAACAATATCTCGTTCCCTTGTTGACTCATCCAAACTTCATTCAGTCGTTTGTTTGTCCCTTTTAATCCCACATTTTCAACTTCCAGCTCTCGCTTCCTTTTCTCCAGATTCTCAATGTGCTTTTTGGCCAATACAAGTACATCGGCTTTGCTGACTCTTTTCTCAGGACGATCACCGCGTTCTGGTCCATTCATGTGATACCCTACCAAGTCCGAAGGAATTGAAGAAAGTAGGAAATCAAATTGGTCGTTCAGCCGGTTCCGGTATTGTTTCTCAACCAAGTTATGGGAAGTTCTATTGCTATTCAGAACTACATTACTCGAGCTAGGCGATGATTCTGGAGAGGAAGTTGAGTTTGAGAAATTGCCTTTTCGAATTCGACTTGATTTTAACTGATTCTTCTTTCGTGGGAACTGATCTCCCGACCTATCATCCTCGTCTGAAGGAGAATATCGAATCTTGGAAGTACTCTTTCTCTTGGAAGATCCCGAGGAATCTCCCCATTTGGCTTTTCGTACGGGCTTGATAGGAATTGATGGAGCCAAGTTCGATGGTCCCTGTCTAGGCACGACATTCAATGGCGACAGAGAACAATCACCACCATCTCCTGTGATCTCATGTTGCATGCCATTGTAGGATTCTGTCAAAGGTTCCATGCATTGCTGCCTTGGAATTTGGCCATTATTTACAACAGTCCAGTTGTTTATATCCCATGATGTCTGAGAAATGGGCAGTTGTTGACTCGGAACAGTGCTTGTATGGTAATCTGGTAATTGTCCCAAGACGTCGCTAGAGTCCATTGCCTTCTTGAAAGTATCGCCAAAACTATTCCATGCGTTAAACGGAAGATCAACCGGAGAACCGAGGGAAGTTGTCACATAATTGTCTACGGGTTGATCTCCGGTGAACCAACAAGCAGGAGTAAGTGGTTGTTCAGGAGTGGCAGTTTGACCCGAGCTAATATCTACAGAGGTTCGAACAATGTACCCATCCGTGGTCATGAACGTGCTCTATGCTTGCAGTCAGTATTCTCTGCTGTAACCAAAGATGGGGGTTTACCTGTTCGCGATCCGACGACTCAATTTGTTGTCGTTGTTTTCCAAGAGTTCTGCTGTTGAGTCTCATTCTGTCAACGCTTTCGTGGTATAAGGTTATGGTGTTGGGTCTTGATTCAGTCCCACGATCTTCATACCGGTCAAAATATAAGAATACGCATCTGAGCCTCGTCTACCTTACCGGGGCAATACTCCTCTCTTCCGGTTGGATTGGACGTTGTGGAAGCCACGCCTAAACCTGACGCCTCGCTATTCCGTAAACACCAAAAACATAACACCTCCACACTGCACAGGCTGATGAACCCGAAGAACAGCACGGATCCAAAGTGGGTGGATATCGTTACAACCACATAACAGTGTCTAGTCCCTATTGGGAAGCCCCCCAACAGCTTGAATTCACGATCAAACACCAAAAGCGCGATTGCCAGCGACATTGCCAAGCCCCATTTGAGGAGCCAGTCGCACAGTCTGAACAGGCACCGAATTTGGAAGAACATCTCTCCAATCAGAATGTACTTCTCGTTGCCATCTTCACTGTACGTGCCGTTGTGACTGGCCTATGAACTACATAGTATGCAAAGATACTCCGGGATTGTGCATATTTGAACCAATATTTCGCCCATCCTTCACCCGAAAACCACCAAAAGTACCGTTTACTTGCGACGGGGAAGATTTCGCTAATTCTATAACTGGAAATTTCTCGACAACAATGTTGAAACAGTTTTTGGGAAGATAAATAAAGTCACCCGATGGTTCTGAGAGAACACGTGATATATATCACTTCCCCTTTTAATACATCTGGGCTCATCTTCTATCCTGTCAGACAGATTTACGAAAGATTGTTACTCATTACATGGTGGTTCTACTTCTCGTCATGCCCCATGTTGTCTTTTGCTTCCGAGCATGCTGTGTTATGGAAGCGGTCATGTTCGAAGAGCATTCACGGGAAACATAAGTACTCGACCAAATTGTTTGCAGCAAGGGAAAATTTATTATCTCAACCTTGTTATGCATCTTTCCGCCAAAAGAGTTTCGTCTTGCATCCACCGAATCTTTCTTCAGCCAGACAGAGCCTTGAAATCCACCCCGAATCTTCTGCTTTGCATTGCCAGCTTGCTGTCGTACGCCCTCAGCAGTTTCTTTTTTTCTTTTGGTGGCAAAATGGGGGGCTTCGCCTAATTTTCAGAATGGTTTCTTCCTTTCTCCAGGGCTGACGGGATTGGTTTCCGCGGCCCAGCTAGAAAAATGGGATAATACTCTTGTTGATCTTTGGAGAAAATCAGGTAACGATATTCTCTGATTAATCGACGAGTCGAAGAATGACTACTTTGTTAGTATCCTGTTGGTGTGGGGTTACGTGGTCTCGATGCCACCGCGGACATTCTGAACGTCTCCATGGCTGGCTGTGTATGCGCACGGACCGATTACATTGTGTTGTTTTCCTAAATTGAGGGCATCTTCTATTATATCCCAGTTTCCAACTGCTTGATCCTCCTCGTCCTACTCCGGATGTCCTGGTGGATGCCGCTGGATCTCTGAATGGTGGTTGAAGTAAGCGGTACTACCCAAGTGGGTGGGGGTTTCATCTGAGCACCTCTTTATCCCCTGCCAAATCGAGTCTTGGATGTTCGCGGATGGTTCCCGGAGGTGGTTCTTGTCTTATTTGTGGAGATTCTGGGTGACGGTTGGGAGGTTTGCTGCCGTTTGGCGGTGTGATTGTGGGATCGGAGGTTGTGATGAAGGTCGATGGTGTTCGGGTATGTCGGCTGGAGAGTTTTCGGTGTCGAACATGAATCGGGTGTTCATCGTCTCTTTTAGGTAAGTGGGAAAAGATTTTTCATCTGTTTTAGTTGAAATTGTGGGTTCTGTCCGTTGATTTTTATATGTTGTTTTCGTGGTTTGGAGATCTTAGGAGAATTGGATCTTTGAAGGTGCTTTCTATTTCGGCATGAAAATTGGCGGGGTAAATGTCACGTGTTGTGAACAGCCGAAAAGGGGGATTTCGAGGACGACGAAATCAACGCACTTAACATTGAATTATCTGGACTCAAGCAACTCGAAAAGAAGCATTAGCAATGGGATTCTTTGACAGCATTCAACCTCCTGAAAAATGACATTAATAGACTCAAACACAACTCACAGCTCTCCAAAGGGATCATCTACGTTATGGTAAATGTTTTGGTACGTGTTGCGCTCCCGATCGCTATTACAATTTTCATATTTTCGGTAAGGATTCGAGAGTACATCTTAAATCGGCAACAAAATTTCAGAATCACGGGCACTTTAGTTTCTTTGCAGGTCGAAGCTGAGACTTGGTGATGCTAGGCCTTTGCGTAAGTGGTTAGCAAGCAATTTGATGGTCTCCAGCTTTTGATATTTGCTTAGAAGGCAGCCGCAGCTGGAGCGCAACGCCAGATCGAACTCGAGTACCTCGACTCTTCCTCCGCTACAGTATAGTGTTTGAGAGGCGAGTGAGTGGTTTATTTATCTAGAACCTGATGTAGGGATATTCGATGAGAGATGGGATTCAGGATTGGCGTTTGTATAAGATAGCTTGTTCGCATTCAAGAATTATCATTTCTGATGCCACGTGAAATAATCCAGATTACTATATTCGGAGTGGTATTTGCTTTAAATTCGATTTACGAGCCGAACGATTTTAATACTTGATACGAATCAGGACTCGTATCGAGTGCTAAACTCTAATTTGTATGGTAGAACCTGGATTTGGATTCAGGATTTTTTTATACCGAACAAGCCGTGAACCTTATAAGAACGTTCTGCCTACCGGTTTCCTCAGTATTTACAGAGTAAGGGATAGTCTTGTATGTGTAGCATTGGAGGATGAGAACCTTGAGAACTGGCGTACAGCACTTCTTTTCTGTAAGTCCGAGTGAGGGAAACATTCGACAGTGTATGAATATTCGAGGGCAAGTAGTGCTGGTTTGAAAGGGGGGATTTGCGGGAAATGTAGAGGAAAGAGGGACAAATCATATATGTCGTTAATAATGTGGGAATGCAATGGTTAACAGTTCTATATAGAGCGCTAAATATTATACCAAGTCTTCTAAAAAGTAACCTAAAAGGTCCATAAGGAGTCCACGGCCTCTTGTACGCAGGTGGTAATAGTAGTACTGGGATGGTTTTAACTTTTATATCACCTGGGTACTTTAATACTTGCGCAAGTTTTGAAGTCTGATGTGAATAGGTTCGTTGGATTGAAGGTTTTCTTCTGATTGGAGGAGTATTTGACAATAGATAGTCCATGTTTTATTATTAGGTTAACCACGGACCCCCTTTACTGTACTTAAAGTTTAGGGGCCCTTCAAAAATGAAGTGCTGGATACTGATTTTGGCATTTTCCATGCTTAAATGCAGCCTCGACTTTCCCGGAATTATCTCCCCAAGAAAAACTGTTGCGATATCAATACTCTCTAGCTGGGTCACCAGTAGTTGGGTTGTTACGCGTGATATGCTTCGTAGAAGTATCACACATATCTTTTGTTGGAAAATTATCTCTTTTAATTAAAGGAGAAGACCTAGTTGACCGCCCAAAATGGGGCACTACCGAGATTTAGTCAAATGAACAGTAATGAAAGCAATCAAGCGAAGAACATAGAGTGGTTTGACTGAAACGCCACGAGAGAGTATCACGCTGTGAAGAACTAGCAAAATGGCCAAGCGAATGCTCGGAAATGACAGTAGAAAGACACTCGAAAATCGATAGACGATATTGGAGTTTGGAAAGAGACAGTGTAGGGTTTGTTTGTGGTAAGACCAGGTTGCCTTGGGCGAGGAATGGTCAAGTTTAATCACGAATCAATAGCGACATAAAAGTCTGCAAGGAGAGCAATCTAATGGTTTTAGAAGCAAACCGTAGATCATTCCGTTGGGTACAGGCAAACCTGGATATAAGGATATTCTCGGGGAACGGGTTTTTAAGGATACAACCGAGGGTATCCTTATAGCGAGGGTCTTGGCATAGGCGGCGACAAGGGCGTGTATTTAAGTACTAGGAAAATTTGGCGTAGTGCCTAGTAATACTCATATAGTACCAGTACTATACGTAGAATCCTACAAATAGTATTACTAAGTGTGACGACACGTACGCAAGGCCCACGGTGTAGGTTGTGGAATCGTAGAACTGTCAATTAAACAAAGATTCTAAGCTGAGGAGAAGAGGAGAGCTCGAGAGAGCTTCGATCTAAATACTTGGTGTGGGTCGCTAAGCGAGACCACGTGATCCGAATGGTGGTGACGGTTAGAACCGTCACACTAAGTCCTAGTTTTATACTTATGAAGTAATAGGAGTTTACTTAGAACCCCTTCGATAAGGATAAAAACGAGGATATTTTTAGTATAAAAAAGATTTCGGGATATAAAAACCCAAGGATTATGCTTACTATAGAGGTATCCTTATATATTCTACTCAAAAGAATCGGGACCTTAAATATAAGGATATAACTAAGGTTATCCTTATATCCAGGTTTGCCTATACTATAAATTCCCTTTGGTTACTTAAATAAACGATCGGGACCTATTCGTTGCCTATGCCAAGAAATCAGCTATAAAAATAACCTTGTATATATACCTATTAGGGTATTCCCGCCCTAGCATATCCTTGTATCGAATTTAGCCTGTATACAAAATAATATAAGTTACCGGAAAGTCTAGTGCTTTAATTTCCCCAAGATAAGGGTTTAGGTATAGAGTGTTATTGTTCGCTCCACTAAACTACCCTTTCCGACGGAAACACTGCGCTAGCTTATTAGACTACCAGGAATATTGCAAGTTCAGATCCGATTGTCCGATATTTGAAACTTTTACGAGAGTTTAAGCCTACCCAGTCCAACGGAGAGTACCGCAAATGTACGATGTTCCTATTTCTCGTATCGGACCGATACGGAAGCCGCTTATATAGAGCAGCGAGATAGTCTAGCTTTACACCTTTACATCCATTACTACTACATATATTTCTACGTAGTGCGACAGGGCCATATTTAAGACTCATCCCCGAATAGCTCTATTCTGGTTGTTTGCACTCCGTTGCTATACAGAGATATTATATCGACTTTTTGGACTTTGGATATTCTATCAACAATACGCAATTCCGAGATCTCTTTTTTTTCGCTACTTTGGCGACCACTGTCTATAGCCAAAAATTTGATCCCAATGTCGGTTACAAGGAAGCATGGTATCAAAATGAATTTGTAAGTTCTCGTCCTCTCTTCCAATTAGGCAATCTATCACTGCTATACCACCGAGCTCCAAGTTGTCTATCTATAGTATCTAGCATAACGTGTTGTTTTGATATTGAACAAATACCGATTTCTAACGCGCGTTATAGGGTGACGCCTTGTCTACTCAAACTATAGCCTCTTGCGAAATCCTGCATTCGAAATCCTGCGACGATTGTAAAACCAATGACTTTAACACAAGCCCTACACGTTGTTACAGTACGGGGAAGTAGTTGGATAGAGGGATTATTTATCATGCTCTTGTTGAATTTATCTGAGAAAAGACCTTTCCTGTGAATCTTGGTAGTCGCAGTATCTCCTGCAGTGTGAGTGTAGAAGTGGAAGCACAAAGGATGGTTGTATGTACTATTAAGCAAATTCTAGACGTCCTTCAGGAATGGTAACTCAGTGGAGCAACAATTGACACTTTATCTCACCATGTTATCTCCTATACCATTCAGAGAGTTTTGGGACTAGGGTTAAGTACCTTCGCTTAAGATATAAGCAAAACCAGATGGTAACACCTGTACCTACAAGGTGCTCTGTAGTCTAACAAGCTAGTCTATAGGAGATACTCTATTCTACTCTGATGTCTTATGATTAGCTTGTTTCAAATCTTGATTAAGATAACTAGCTTTTCCCGCCTATGTAGTATACTAATAATAAGAGAATTGTTATTTACCATCGGCAAATGGAACTCGATTCCATGGAATTATATATAGAATTCCATTCCAAAAGGAATATTCCAGAGCAGCTTACATATAAAATGGAATATTCTATCGAATAGAATCTAAAATTCTATTGAAATATAGAATTTCGTAATAGAGTTTAGCTAATTAGAAGGTAGTATTTAAAGGGGATTTAAAGGGAAATAAAGTAAAAAGTATTTAATTTTATATTATAATATAACTTTCTGTTGTGCTGGGTCTACTTCCTCTTTTGCTCCACTTCCTTATTTGATCCACTTATAGTTCTGCTGCCTAAATGCTTCATGTCTGCCTAAACCTTACACTCTTTATATAAACACCTTAGATAGCTACCTTTTACAATGCAATCAATTCTCCATGACCTTCAGTACCCAATACCCTTTCAACCCAATACTTTCTTATACTTAATTCTTTTTTATATTTACTATAATTACTTTAATTTATTCGATACTCATTTCCTTTAATACCTCTTTAAGAGTTATATATAGCGCTGAGTAATGTCACGAATCACGTGTTGGCATGTGATAAGCAAAGACCAGGCGGCGTCCTGACAGGTTAAGCACCAGCAACAACTCTTATAGCAAATAGGGATGCTTAGGCTAGCTAAGCGATCCAGGGATTTCATCTGATAGAAGTCATGTGACCGTCATTGATCGTTGGTGATCAACTGAGCAACGCTGAGCTGGATCAGTGGGATCAGGGTGATCATAATGATCAACGAGCAAGAAAGGTTCTATATAAGATTGGCACGTCTGCCATTAGATAGGAGCTTCGTGCTCAACTTAGTTATCAATCTTATCATATTAGTTTGACATCTTTGATACAAGTAACGAGTTCACTTCCAAGTGAACAACCCGATAGTCTTCTTCTTATCATAGCATACCAACCAGCGAACACCCAGCCAAGTTTAGTTAGCCAGTTTGAGTATTCGTTACATACTACTAATTACTACGAACCTATAAAACCTATAATACTAACCTATAGAAGTACTTCTAGACTTTTCTATCCGGTACCCTAGTAAGAAGAAGGAGTACTAATTAGTTACGATTAGAGTATAAAGGAGAACTTACTAATTTATATAAATAGAAATAGAGATTCCGGTAGAGAGGAGTAGCGGGGAGAACTCTAGAGGGAAGATACTATATACTATATAAAATTCTCGATTATATAGTAGCCTATAGAGCCTTTTAGGAACGTTCAGCTTAAGGAAATACTATCGAGTCCTCGCTTACGTGCCGCGCCAAACTCCGAAATAAAGGAGGGTAGCAAACGAAAATCTTTGGGCGACGGTATGGTGTGTTACACTATACCACCACGCCTACCAAGAGATCTGCACTAACCGATGCAAGATTTCTTGTTTTGTCATTCGTGATACTGTACCAGGAAACCAGAGATCTGGAAGACTAGGGCGCAGGGGTAAGTTGTTACGATGTTTCGATTCCATGTTTCAATCCGAAGTTTCAATTATTCGATGTTTTGATTCGATGTAAGTAAGCCATTCTGATGAGACGCAGTGCGTACCTTTTGTACTAGTAATTCTGGCCTATTTTTAAACCAGGCACACACTAGAACACAGTCTTTGGTATCTATCGACATTGGATGACCTTTCTTGCTCCCATTTCGATATTACCTTCTAGAATCTCGTTCTTGCGCTGTAGTCAGCGACACAATCCCTGCAAGTGAGGTTACTCCGTACCTATGGGTAGAAATCCTTCTCGCTTATCCCATCCGTCAGTTTCGATTCAGGATTACAGATATCTATGATTGACTGAACTTTCAAAGGATCAACAAAGTTCCTGTCGTATACCACCAACTTGGCGTGTTTGAACTCGACAAATTCGATCACAAAGCCCGGGACCTCAGAAAGAATCCCAGAATATCTTACAGTGCCCAGGCATAGCTGAGAGAGCTTAGCAAATGTAAGCAATGCTTAGTCTGCCTTGTGCCATCTTAACCGATGTGAGAGTCCTCTTGAGGAACTTGGCGTTGTCAGATCTGGACTTTAGTTTGACCTTGCGTATGACCACGCATACAAGATAATCGGGAAATTTTTGAAAACCTCGGTAGGAATGGTTGTATCAATCCCTAATTCCCGAAAACCTAAACGCTCCTCCTGTAAAAGTTCCCGTGTTCGCAACCTTGTGTCACGGTAAATGCCCACAAAAGGAATTCTTTAGACTTCTACGCGAGAACTCTGATTAACTTGCACATATGTTTTTGCCCCACATGTCGAGTGTCTCCAATCCACCCCTTGTTGAAGAGGTTGAGAAATAGAGTTGTTCTGTGGAGTCTGCCCGGGGGAAGGGTCCTTTTGGGTACCCAGGTGGGTTTTTTCCAGAGGATCTTTTGTAGGGGTGGGGCCCTGAGTCTAGCCCAGCTGCATCAAACGCCCTGGGAAGGCTGATCGCCAGCCCGTGCTGAATGAGCTCCACCTGAACGCCAAACATTGGTAAAGCCAACGTCAACGTTCGAGGCTCGACACGTCTTGACCTCTCCTTCGATGTTCTGAACGCAAGACTCGGCGGCAGAAAGCCACCTTTTCCCCCAAATTCTTTCTCTCGAATCTTGTTTCCACACGGGTGTTTTTTCCCGTGTGGGATGTTCTGAACAAGCTTCTCTTGTGGTGGAAATGTGTATCTCTCTGCGCAGCCCGTCCGAGAATGCGGGAGCACAAGTACCACTGGTGTCAGTATCTAGACCTGGGAGGCAGAGATTCGAGGTCAGTATTGTGGTTCTATTCTTATCGTTTCAGCTGTTGTTGTTTGATGATACATACTGTGGTGAGAGATGTCTGATGGGCGTTGATTACGATGGCATTCTGGGTGCTGATTTTGATGAGCACCCGAAAATGCTTGCGTAACTCCGCCCTTTGATGACCATCGGTCAGACGATTTTTCATTGCTGAGAGGCTTGGTATTTAATGCGCAACTGGTTACGGAAATACCATTTTACGGCAGGGCGGAAGGCTCGCAGGAACCGAACCAGTTCTTCTGGCTGGAAGCTCGATGCTGGTGATGTGCCGTCCCTGTATTTTTCTTGCCATGAGAAAGAGCGTGTCGCAAGAAAATCGTCGATGTTTGTGGAGGCCCGGAAAAAGTGATGGAGAATTCTGATCAAGTACCGTACCTATCCGTACGGGTCGGGTCGTACCTGGCCCTGGGTCCCTCGTACAACGTCAGACCTTGGGCCAAAGTATGTTCTTCTTTGACTTTCATCGGCAGACGAGTTCTCCCAAGCAAGGCGCATTCTTGCGAGCAAGTGCCATCGAGTGCCAGTGTTGACTAAGCAGATGGCAGCATGATGCCGACACTGTGTTAGCAGCGAATGGGGAAGCATCTCGCCATCCGAAGAAAGGCAGGGCAAGAACCTCGAGCCTCCCACCTCTTGAGTCTTGACTTGCAAATCTCTACATTACAGTACAGTACAGTACTTTTTCAGTCATCTCTCAATTTCAATGGAACCGATTGCTTAATACTTCCCAAACCAGGGAATGCCACCCCGCATATGCAAGAGGTACCATGTAACATGTACAGACGTATCACTTCTCCTTCTCCCCTCTTGTCCCACCAGGTCAACTGGCATTGGCACTGGCACTGGCCGCCATAACACACAGCCAGTGCCATTTGCTGCTCATCGTCACCTCGACCACTCGCTTATGAGAATTTTGGCCATGATACCAGTACTTTCGTACTATAGAATGGAACTGTAGTGTACTCCCAGCCAGCATGTCCTGGACGTCGTCTGTCAAACCAGCAGCTGTTCGCCGTCGGTGCTGTCGCCGCCCATCTTTGGTGTAGCATGAAAGGTCCACACTCTCCAGATAGAGCACTTGGCATCCTGAAAGTTCCATCTGCGTGCTGCTGAGATCCTCATGAGCTACCGGTGATGATGGCTTTGATGGTGCTTCTCAGAATTTCTCTCTCTCTCTCTCCTTTTTCTCTCCTCTGGTCTCTCTGGAGCTTTGACCTTCCAGCCCTCATGCCTTCTCCCAGAATGGATTGATGTGTGTGCCATCGGGATCCCTTTTCTGCCATGGATATATTTCTCATCGAACTTTTCATCCTTCCCGAACGTGGTGTGGTGTAGAATGCTCCTCAGGACCGAGAGAAGTTAGCAACGGCTCAGATATAGCTGCCACGCCCCCTTGAGCCTCGCTCGCTCCGTGCAGTAGTTTGCAAGGACAACAGCATTCTTGTGCAAGCTTCACCGTCTGCACATCTCGACAGGATCAGTAGAGGGAGGTTACGCGGACCTGCAAGTGTCCATTCTGATCGCCCTCACCGCAGTTGTTGCTTCACGAAGGTGAAGGAAAACGGGAACCCTGACCACCTGCACTTCGGTGCGTGTGCCAGTGGAAAGACGGTGGCGCATTCCCATTGACGATGTGTTCGGTTAACAACTTTGGGCAAAAGCTTGGGCAGATGAATTGAGTTTCTAGTCCCGTTTCTGTTTTGGTTTCTGGTTCGGCCGCAGAGTTGCATGATCGCAGTTGTAAGGACCTGGTTGTGGTGGTTTTTGCATCGCGCGTACAATTGCCCTTTGTTGAGCTTGTAAAACTCTATATTTTTCCATTGGGCGGCAGTCGAGTATACGCAGTATACGCAGTCTACGCAGTAGGGGTAGAGGTAAATATTGGTCGCTGTCGACCTCCAACTGCCTCACCTTCAACTGCTCCAGCTGGCGTCGTCGTCGCCGTGCTCGTCGTCGCTTATTGTCGCCCACCAAAGAAAAAATCCTGTCCCGTCGGCCGCGAAAATTCCCACGACACGTCCTAACGCCTCCTTCCTCCCTCCTCCTCGTCCTCTCCCCTCCTCCGACTCTCACTCCATCACCACATCACTCCAACCTCATTCTCGTGGGACCACAAGATTCTCGGGCATGCGCACACCAACACAAGCCAGAACCTATTCTTGATCCTCCTCCAATACTTGGATCACGCCTCGACTACCTACTTTCTGTCGTCTCCTCCTACTCGATCTGGACGTGGAAAGCGGATGTCACGAGAAGCGCGACAGGACCAACCTCACTTTTAAAAATTTCAATTCTCCCCTCTCCTCCCCCACTGATCGTCGGCACTCCGCTGCACCGACTTCCACATCGATATCAGATTCACCCTGATACCCTCCCAATCCGTCGTCATCAATTGGTATGTGAAACTTCAACCGATCTGACCATCGACCCACAAACTCAGACATAATAACATTTGAAATAGATCTCGGAGTCAATTATATCCTCAACGTCAATTGCACCATTTGGTGTTGACGATTGCAACCACCCCAACCTCACCACTATCGTCGTTTCCTTGACAAAAAAAAGACAATGGCTGAATCCTTCACGGTCGGCCCTGAGGTCTTGGAACACTTTGCCACCATCTCGCGCATCTCCTCAGTCGTTTCTCTGGTAGCAATTCTCTTCATCCTTTTCAGCTATGCCGCTTCCTCTTCCTTTCATAAGCCCATCAACAGATTGGTCGTCTACGCTTCGATTGGAAATATCTTCACCATTGCCGCAACCCTCATGTCAAGAAGCCATATCAAAAACATTGATGACCCCATGTGTCAGCTTCAAGCTTTTCTAATTCAGATGTAAGTCTTCCATACCTATCTAACAACAGCGCACTCACGTTTTCCTTAGGTTCATGCCGGCGGATGCTTATTGGACTTTGGCAATGGCGTTGAATGTTTATCTTACATTTTACTATAAGTACGATAAACACCAACTCAAACGACTTGAATACGTGTACTTAGTTGCATGTTACGGTCTCCCAATAGCTCCTGCAATCGTCTTTCTATGCATCAAGTCGGCTGACAAAGGTCGAATGTATGGCGATGCTACTCTGTGGTGCTGGATTTCTAACTCCTGGGATGTCTTCCGAATTGCACTGTTCTACGGCCCAGTTTGGTATGTATCAAGAGTTCAATCTATGGTCTAATTACTGATTCTTGCCAGGTTGATTATTTTTATAACATTGATAATCTATGCTCGAGCTGGCAAGGACATTTGGGCCAAGCGACAACAGCTCAAAAAGATGCTTACTCCACCTTCACAGCCAACACTCGTAGAAGACCCATTTACTTCAGAGTCAGAAAAGATGGGAATCGCACGCACAGTCGACGTTTTTATAGACCACGAGGATCTAGCCCGTTCTCCCAGATACAGTCCTGCAGGATCGACTTATTCTAAAGAGCCTCGCGCAATCGAGTACCCACTCTCCCCAGAATCACAGGCGGAACAAAAAGCCATCAAACCGGTTTTTACTACCAGAATCACAAGTGGTGTCACCTCTCCAGAAAATCACGAAGCCACAAACCCCACCGCCAAGGGCGAACGTAAGAGTTTCATCACCACAGTCACGTGTCATCCTAAACCAAGTTTCGTGCATCGAGTTCATGGCATATCACCACCCGCACGACAAAGTACTCCGCAACCAGCAAATAACGCAAGCCCACAATTTCGAATCAATACACCGGGAAGAAAGCATCAAGTTGACCATAACTTTGCTATCTGGCACTATACCAAAGTTTCTCTACTATTCTTCTGCGCCATGATGGTCACCTGGATCCCATCTTCGGCAAACAGAGTCTACTCGGTTATCCACGGTCCAAATCACATTTCCGTTGGTCTCTCTTCCGCTTCCGCTCTTGTCCTTCCGCTTCAGGGTCTATGGAACGCAGTCATCTATATCAAGACTAGTTTTCCAGCATGTCGCGAACTTTGGGAGAATACCAAGGCTGGACGACCATTTGCCAAGAGTACTTTGCGATGGCGATTCTGGACCAAGAAGAGAAGTGTATATGTAATGGAAGATGATCGCGAAAATCATGGCAGTATGATGATGCGTACTCCGAGAACTCCACCACCCAAGGATTACTTTGCTGATGGTGATGGTGATGCAGAGAGTACAAAGGAGTTACAGACACCTAGTCGACCGGGTACTGGTAAAGCATCTGGTGGTTCGAGTTTGCATTCTTCTTGAATTCTTTCTTGAAGCTGTCGACGACTATACGCTTGACTTTTTGAGCATCTCGCGGATAATCTCCTTGGCAGTTTCTTCCTTTCTTTCGAGATTGTCGTTTCTAGGTCCCGATTTGGCGGTCTTCTAATCTTCCCTTCTTCTTTTGCCTTTTTTTTTTGTCGACTACCTACTTCGTTTCTTCAAGACATATTTGAGAAAAAAAGAGGCTGTAATTTAATTTCCGCCCTTACCCCCAGCCACACCAAAGTGGAAGGATGGATATGATAGATGAATAGCTAGCTGACGGCTTGGTTTTTGTTCATCTCTATCTCGTTCTACTTTTGAATTTTGTCTTTCTTCTTGGGTGGATCTTCTTTTTACTCGAACACTTTCATTTTTTTGTCTTATGGGATTCGAATTGTCTTTGCGGGTGAACGTTTTTGTCTAGGGATCGAGCCTTTTCGTTCCTCATGCTCGTTCCTGCTTTCGTTTGTAAAGGCGGTTTGATTTTGATAATGATACCAAAGATTCTTTTTTTTTGTTGTCGCGTTCGCACGGGAGGATGGGGTTGCGGGCGTTTTTTTCATGTTTCTTCGTTTCGAATTTGGTGTTTTTTTTTTTCTTTTCAGGCTTCTCGATCTTTCCAGCTACGCTTCGGTTCACGAAGCTCGGGATGGGAGAGGCAATGTGGCGTTCTCAATGGGAATGGTGCACTCGGTCAAGGTTCACGCGCTTATGATGGTAATGATGGTTCATTGGGGGGTTATACATGGTTGGTGGTGGATGGGGATGGGGATAGCGTCTTGAGTCTATGGGGATTTGGCTCCGCTGGTGAAAATGGAAATGATGGTTGGTGTTTTTGAGGGGGTGTGATCGATGCTGGATGGACAGGGATGGGGATGGTTAAAGTTTTTAAAAACAAGAAAAAAAAAGATGAAAAGACTGGTGATGGGAAACTATGCTATGCGAAGCTATCTATCTTAGGTAGTGATGCTAGGTAGATACCCCTTCTACATTCAAATGAAATTCGGTTTTCTTTTGAGATGGTTATTTGGTTTTGTGATTTGTGGATTATGATGAGGGGGTAAGTGAGTGAGTGAGTGATATACTCTTTTTATGGTGATTGTATTCACCACCATCTTTTACGCTCCTCCGTACGAGTAATCTTACAGGGATGATGAGGTTCTAATTGGCGGACAGGGGTATTTACCATGCTAGTGCTAGTGTTTCAAGTACCGATATTTCGCTGTATAGGGTAAGGTTGGTTGGATAGGTCGGTACTGTATGGAGGATGGTTGGGCTGCGGCTGTGGGGTAGTGGGGTGGGTTGTTTACGGAGGTACTAGTACGGTGTTCTAGGGCGGAGAGTGTTGGAGTTGGAGTAGGTATGAAGAGGTGGGAAGTGAGGGTTTCTTTGAAAAGGGAATGTGGGTGTGTTGGGCATTGGGGATTCGAAGGGGACTAGAAGGATGGGAGGGGGTTGGTGAGTAGGTAGGGGGTTAGAAGCTCGTGTGGTAAGTGGGTTAGTGGGTTGGTGAGTAAGTAGGTAGATGTGTATATACGTTTATATATTTCTATATATTTCTGTTTGCTATGGGAGAAAGTAGGTAAGGGAAGAAGATGGGGGGAATATTATACTACAGATACGACATTTTATGGCGGATTCTAGGGTATAGTTTGGTGTGTTATTGGTGTTAGTTGGTTAGTGGGTGAGGGAGTGAGTAAAGGAGGTTGTTAGTTTGGATTGGTAGGTAGGTGAAGAAGGGAAAGGCAACGAGAAGCGATGAAGGAATAAAGAAGATGATAAAAATACATTTCCCCTCTACAATAACCCACACCATCCCTCTTTTCTCCTCTCTTCTCTACTCTACTATGCTCTGATCCGATCAGGTCCAAAATGACCTCACACTCCCATTTTCACATCCTATACAGTAAAAACTTTTAATACCCCCAACACCCATAACACCCGAAAATCACAATAATCACAAAAGAAATATCTCTATCCATCCATCATCCATACAGTTATTTACTTGATATGAGAAGGCAAATCACCCCTTCACAGCATCCACAACACTCCACTCCCAACACGTCCTCAACCTCACACACTCCTCCACGATTCCCTCATCCTCCCACCACCACCCCCGCGCTTCCACAAACGACCCCCACATCTCCTTCCATAACATCCTTCCCACGACGGATTTCAGTTCTTGCTTGATGATGTCGTTTTTATAGATTTGGACATGTTGTGTTTCAGTTTCTTGGATGGGCCTGGTGCCGTCTGTTTCGGTGGTGGGGGAGTTATCGGAGGATGAAGAGGGAGAGGGGGTGGAAGGGTAAGAGGAATTATGGTGATTGGAGAGTAGGATCGATTCCGCCTGTGCGCCATCGACGACAGCGAGGAATGGAACGGTGAGAATACAACTCCCTTCTGCTCGAAGACCGGCGTCGCGTAGCCATTCGGGGAAAAGACGGCTGGGGTTGATGCACCGGAATTGTTTTTCGAGGTTCAGGAGGAGGTGGCTGTCTAGCCATGTTCGGAGCAGGGGACCGAGAGTAGATGGGAGGGGACAGGGATCGATGATTGTGAGATGGAGAATGCCCTCTGGTCTTATGGGGAAGCTGGGAGAGGGCGGTGATAGGGAGTCAGGTGCTAGGGATGGATTGGTTGGAGATGGAGGGGAAGGTGTGAGGAGGCGGTGACACTCTTTCAACAGTCCTGGGATGGAAGAAGCGGGGAATTGGGCGGGGAGGGAGAATGCGTGGATGGATGTGAAGGTGTTGTTTGTGTATGGGAGTGGGGTGTTCAAATCTGGGACAGCGAGAGGATGGATATTAGGGTATGGTTTTGGGGAGAGGGGCGATTTGCTGAGGTGGTGGACTTCGGTGCTGGGACTTGAAAGGGCGGAGAGGAAGGATGCGGATGCTGTTCTACATCAGTATGCACTCTAGAATATCGGATGGGATCTTACCATGATTTTCATACAGAGATAAAACTTTCGTGGCTCCAGCTGTGGTAAGCTGGATCGTCGAAGTCTCATTTTGAGGGCCTAATCGTGTTGTTTTCAAATCTCGTAGTGCGAAGAGCATCCATCTCTGCTTCTCCAATTCCAGTTCTCGGTAGACAGAGGCATCTGCAACCTCTACCCATTCTTCTTTCAGACGTTCGAGGACGATTTTAGAGCTTGCTGCTTCCATTCTTCGAATACCCTTTTGAAGATGTGAGTGTACCAGTCGAACGGGTCTTTGTCTTTTGACATTTGTCAATTTGATGGGAGGTTGAAGTAATTTTGGAACAGGAATATCTTCTGGTCTTCTCTGTTCGGCCCAACGCATCGGTGGTCTGTGCGAGTCTGTCCTGATAGGAAGTCGAGGAAGAGGAGGAACCGAAAATGCTGGGGGAGGTGTTGGTGGTGGATTATTAAGATCAAAGATTTTCTTAGCTGGTGTAGATTGTTTCTCTGGTAGAAAGAAGTGTGGTACTGGAAAATCAAATGTGGCCGAATTACGTGCTCTTGAACATGTTAGTACCATCGGCTCTTTACTCGGGATACTGGACATACGGATCTGTAGGAGAATCTCCACCCTGAATTGGAATTGTTTTTCTGGGTGGTATGGTGACAACAGTTGCCACCTGTCCTGCTAAACTTGCATTTTCTCTCGGCAGAGTCGATACATCAGGACCTCTACCGATGATGGAAGTTGGACTTAGAGGTTGAATAAGATGGGATTTGGTAGTCGGCGAGTTCACCACGGATCCCCAAGTCGAGTTTGTATTTGATGATCGTCCCGTCCATCCTGAAAAAACTGATTCTGCCGCTGTCGAAAATTTAGTATACGTAGGTCTTCAACAAAATGCAAACGGAAACTTACGTTCGGATGCACAAGACAAGTCAGTATCTTGATCAAAGGAGAATGTGCCTTTTGCAGATGCTTGATTTGCCGAAGGCTCAGTAAAATCACGAACGGACGAGTCCGAGGCCACCGTATAGCTTGATATCCTCCTTGCAGCTTTACTTGCATCCCCATTCTTCAGTGCAGAAAGCTTTGACTGTGATCCGGTCCTTGTGAGTCCACCTCGCTTGCTACTCCCTCCTCCAAAGAGTGATAATAGGGCTGGTCGAGTATGGCTTTGGGAGGATTCGGATGAGTTTGAACTTCTTATGGATGATCCTCGTGATATTTCACTTGTCTTGCTTTCCTTTCGGATCTTACGCTGGCCCACGGTCTCCCTCGAAGGGTCGGTGTAGTGAACGTCAAACATGATGATACTGATTCAAGAAAGATCTGCAAGTTGTCTAGGTATATTCATAAGGTGAAAGCGGAGAGGAGTGAGAGGATGGCTTATTCACACGTGTAATGCCACGAGGACTCGCTCGATCGAAATGATATGTGATTTGAAAAACCAATGTCGTGATATATATCAGAATTTCAACGATGAAACTGAAGCAGAAAATGAGGATATGTGACAGATGTGACGTGAGACCTACATAAGTTTTTCTCCCCACGAGTTTGCAAGCTCGTGGGTACATGTTGATTATTCAGATTCTGTCGTCTCCCACATGGCATCAAGACATATTGAAGCAATCAAAAGCATAAGCAAGACAGTGGAAGCGGATCGACATACAGGACCTGGTTCAAATTCATCTCGTTTCCCGAGGGAACACCCGTATAGCATCGTCATCTTAGAGAGTTAGTGGTTCCCGAGTCTCTTTATTATGCCTGCAAGTAACCGTCCACACTGGATATGAAGACAGGGAACCATGGAAATATGCTGGAGTTCGGACGAAAAAAGTGGCGTTCAATAGAGGAGCTGGAACACAAGGCTATTGGGGACGATGTGACAACAGCAGTAAGAGACTTAGAGTATGGAGACGAGGCAGACGGAGGTGGCACCAGAAAGGGAGTGGTGTTGCGTGATGTTGCACGGTTGACGTGGTGGCCATGGGAAGAGAAAAGAAACGCTAAGCGACGTTGCTTTGGGGTGGAGAAAGGGGGGAGCGAGATGTTGATGTCGTGGGGGAGTGGTGGTGGTTGTGGGTTGCAATGATGAAGCGATTTTCCCCATCCCTGCAACGAAGGGCGGGAGAGGCGGCAAGGAGCCGAACGGCCAGCGATTGGTCAATCCCGGTGCTGCGGGTCAGTGGTGTGCAGTGGTGATCAGAAAACACAACACCACCACCAGCCAGGCCAGGGCAGATGGTGACGACCAAACTTCTACCAAACTTCCATCAAACATCGCCAGAACTTCCTTTTTACGCCTTCTCTGAAGTATCTCGTGCCTCTTGCTATCCCACGAGATGTGCCGCACGCCACGACTACAAGTACCATCCATGCACCGTTTGTTCGTTGGCTGCCGGTAAAGACTCACTGGGCACACTACAGCACGATATCCTAAGCACAGCACAGCACCGCACCGTACGCTGCTCGAAAAGCAAAGGGAAAGTGTCCGGCGCAGGGCAACGTATACACGACCCGTCGATCAAGGCCAAACCAGCCATCCTGCATTGAAACTCCAAGAAGGGACTCGAGTACTCGAATACTGCAAGAACCTGCAGAGACGATGATGGGAGACCCGCAATGAGCACCGCCTCCTCGGCCGGCGCTCTGGATCTGCTGTATCTCGCATCTTGAGATCAGCCGGTAATGGACACCATCCAGGTGAGATCAGAGAACTGGACGTGGGACGGCATGGTGTTGTGGGAGCACGGCCTGAGAAATCGTTCGCCGAGAGCAGATATACTGCAGATGCCGCGACGGGGACCTGCTTTCGGTCTTAACTGGAAGCCAATCATATACCCGTCGATTGGTGTTCAATGTCGTGCCCAGCCCACACCTCCAAGCCCAACGCGAGAGACGCATGTGGCACAAAATAAAGTCGACTGCGTTATCGAGTAAGACAAAATATTCTAGTCCCAGCTCTCAGGGTAGGCCGAGGAAAGTATCAAAAGAAGAGGAAAAAAGAGCATAATAATGGCATGATCTCGCGAGGGCCCGACCGGCCTGTTGATACATCACATTGTGAACCTTTCCTATGATTGTTCTTAGTGGCTACTATTTTTCAAGTGGATCAAGCCTTAATCGCCCATTTCAAGGGCAAAAGCAGATATCAAAACCTCAGAACCGACACTTCGAGTCAAAACCGAGTTACGGATACATCTGCATCTTCGGCTAGACTTGATACAAGACGTTCTCGCTTCCGCATGCAAAGAATCAACTCAAAAGTTTCTCCTGTCAATTTCCGTATGTTGTCAACCTCCTTGCATATGGCTGTGTTCCCTAGTTTATTGATAGCTCCAATACAATCTTGCCTACTTGGTCAAACAGTTCTCGTCCCACTCGGACTTTCGCGACTTTTCCTCTCCGTTTCAGCTTCTGCCTGTGGCGAGCGTATTACCTGCAGTGCCACTTTTCTCCTTGACGTTTTCCTGAAAAGTAATTGTCAAGTTGCCATCCGCCGTGACAGATGCATAGACAATTGGGTGGCTTATGGTGGCTAGTCTGATCTGTTCCGATTGTATCTGCGGAATATCCGTCTTGCAATCGCTTTGATTCCTCTACTACACAAGCTCTTTTGACAGCCGCTGTCAAATTTGTTTTCGCCTTTTCCTAGCCGATTTTCTGTATATCTTTCCGCTTCCGCCCACGTTTCTTACATGTGCAATTAAACTTCAAGCCATTTTCTTTCATCATGTTTGGACTGAAAGACTCTATCAGAGACCTTGATAGGAAAATATCTGCCTCGACCTTTGGTAGAGTATTTCGTCTCGATGGATCTGGTCATGTAAGTCATGTGAAACGCTGGGTGAGCTTGTTGATTCTGATAATGCACAGCACAAAGTTCGTCCTGGCTCTAGCTTCTTTACGGAAGTACATGCTGGACTGACCACTTTCTTTACTATGGCATATATCATAGCTGTGAATGTAAGTTATGTATATTGCTGTGGATTATGTTTGCTAATTTTGAAAGTCTTCAATCTTGGGTCAGAGCGGTGGGACTTGTGTATGCAAAGATACTGTAGATCCTCTTTGCTTCAAAAATGTAGAGTATAATGATTGTCTTATTGGTAAGTAATGTTTATCATACCTATATGATTTCACTGACAAAGTAAAGATATCAAAAGAGACTTGGTAACTGCTACAGCAGCAATTGCAGGTATTGGATCTATTGCATTTGGATTCCTGACGAATCTTCCCGTCGCTTTAGCGTATGTTTCTTTCAACTTCTCCAGTGCTCACTAATCTGATGATACAGACCCGGAATGGGACTTAATGCCTATTTTACCTTTCAGGTAGTTGGAGTTCGAGGCGGAGGATCTGTGTCATATCGTCTCGCCTTGACGGCTGTATTTATCGAAGGTTTTATATTCGTCTTTCTATCTCTGATAGGTATACGACAATGGCTCGTTCGACTTATTCCAGGTTCTATAAAGGTTGCAAGTGGTGTTGGTATTGGTTTGTTCCTGACAGAGATTGGATTGTCATCATCTGGAATTGGTATGATTTCTGGCTCGAGGAACTCGCCCACGGATCTGGCAGGTTGTCCAGCTCAATACATTGATCCAACCACCGGGGCATGCACAAGCCATAAAATGACAAGTCCTACAGTTCGTATGCCAGTCTTCTTTAGGTATATATACTGATTATTGACCTAGATGTGGATTGGTATCATGTGCGGTGGAGTGTTGACTGCCTGGCTCATGTCATATCGTGTGAAATCTGCCATCATCATTGGCATATCTGTCGTTTCTATCATGTCCTGGCCGTATGTTGTTCCAACCTTATATTTAATACCCTACTAACCAAACACAGTCGCAACACCTCCTTCACCTACTTTCCTCACACAAATGAGGGTAACCAAATGCACGAGTTCTTCAAAAGAGTCGTCTCATTCCACCCAATTCAAAATACTCTCGCCGCACAAGACTGGGATATCACTGGTGCGGGAGGGCACTTCGCTCTCGCTCTATTCACATTCCTCTATGTCGATATCATTGACTCCACTGCGACGCTCTTTTCTATGGCTCGCTTCGCCGGAGCAACTGATCCCAAAACCGGAGACTTCCCTCGCTCAACACTAGCCTATTGCTGCGACGCAATAATGATCTCCATCGGTTCACTTTTCGGCTGCTCTCCCGCAACAGCATTCATCGAATCCGGAGCGGGAATCACCGACGGCGGTCGCACCGGTCTCACAGCCATGACAACCGGCATCTGCTTCCTGATCTCCATCTTCTTCGCGCCTATCTTTGCTTCCATACCCCCTTGGGCGACGGGTTGTACACTCATCCTCGTAGGCTGTATGATGATGCGTCAAGTCACCGCCGTGAACTGGGGATTCATCGGCGATGCCCTACCTGCTTTCATCACCATCGCGTGTATGCCACTCACCTACTCCGTAGCATACGGCCTCATTGCAGGGATCTTCTCGTATGCTACTCTCAACGGGCTGATCTACATCACGAATAAGCTCTCCGGGGGTAGGATCCAACCCCCTGATGCGGATGCCGCCGAGTACTGGACCTATAAACCTTCTGATAGTCATCCGCCGTGGTTTGTCCGTCTGGCGAAGGGACAGCTGTGGAGAGGGGGCTGGAGGCCTGGTGATGATCTGGATTGTAAGAGTGTGGGCAGTGTGGCGGTTAGTGAGAAGGAGTTGGTGGATGGGGTTAATGGGGGGGTTAGTAGGGGAGTGTCGGGTGTGAGTGGGATTTCTACGGGCGAGGGGATTGAGGTTGGGGAGGGGTTGGTGAAGTTTGAGAGTCGGGGG